TGTGATACGTTGCTGAATGAGAGGAAATCCAGCGTTTCACTCAGTTTGTCTTTATCCTCCCGTGCTGACAGCTACAGGGTGAGCAGTTATCCAAACATCCAGGAACAGGGGAGCATGAAAATGTGTTGCACAAGCATAATGCAAAACAGTATAGCCCCACACTTACTTGGACAGTCTCAGTTCACGTACACATGCAGGACGGAGCAAAAGTTTTCAGCAGTGAAATTAAAGTGAAGAGGCTTTCAGGAATAATGCAGTCAATAATTATTGCTGATCAATTAATTCCATATAAAGTCCAGAAACCAAAAAAATAATAAATAATGTTGCTTTTAACCCTCTGAACCCCAGTGCCAGACTTTCCAGTATCCTTAAACTACTCATCGGCTGTTCTGTTACCAAATCTAACCTTAAAATCGTAATATTTCTTTAAAATGCAGCAAAAAAATGAATTGTTTGCTGTAATTACTTCCTGTTCAAAAACAGAAAAGTTGTATCCTTCGGTCCAAAATTGAAGCCATGACTGACTCAGCTGTGACCAACAGGCATGTGACACAAAATCAGGGACTTTTGGGTTGAACTGCAGGTTGTGTTTGCACAGAGCAGAGAGGAGACGACTTAAAACATATATATAGCAAAATAACTTTGGTATGTAGAGTTACCAAGTTTACCAGCTGTTGTAATTAGAATAGAATAATTTTTATGGATCCCTCATTGGGGAAAGTTTACATACCACAGCAGCATCCAAAAAATATAGAAAAGGAGGTACAATAATTAAGTAATAAATTAAGTATGTACACAAAATCACAAAAATATGCAACTGAATAAAAAATATATAATATTTACACATAAAAAGAAAAAGACAAAATGAAAAAATGAATCGTAAATAGGTGTTAACAGGCAATTGTGGGCATTATTTAATCTCTTTAAGGACTTCTGGCATTCTAACTGTGCTTTACTGCAAAGAGAAGTTGATTATTTATCTCTACTTCTAGCCATGGTTGCACTATTTTCATAGAGCTGCAGTGAAAAATGAGCTCACAATGGGTAAGAAAATGTGACAGGAGCAAAAATAAAGTCTTAGAAACTGCTGGAAGTTCAGATGTTTAAACAGTAGTTTAAACCAGGTCACCTCAGGAGTCGTGCAGTTTTTTAAAATTTATTTATTTTTATGACACATGCTAGGTCCAAGCATCTGGAAGAATTTCCTTCAGTTCTTCGGTGGATTTAGGCCGTCTCACTTGTTTCGGTCTCTTAATGTAATCCCAGACTGAGTTGAGGTCAAGTCTCTCTGAGGGCCATGACAACTGTGGCAGGATACTGTGCTCTTCTTGTTGTTCTAGATAGTTGAGTACGACTCTGGCTGTACAATAAGGCTGATTGTCAGCAAATTCAGGACCAGTCAGATTCCTCCTTGATGGTGCTGCATGATGGATGAGAATCTAAACATCTAAGCTGCCTAAAAATATCAGCAGCACCGTAAATATGTAGAAACATACACACAGGCTGTCAAAATGTTGTAAAATCTTAGCTTAACATGTGCTAGACATTGCAGAAGGTCACGTGACCGCATTTTGCTACCATGACATTCATATATTGATAGCAGATAAGAGAGAAGGGCAGTGTGTGTGCATGTGTGTGTGTGCACGATGTCGCCAGGAACCAGCCTTATCTTCAGCTGGAAATCTAATTATTGGCACACAGCAATTTACTCTACAGTAAATTGTTCAGAATGTGTGCGTGTGTTCGGCCGCATGTTCACTCATGCATATATTATATGCCTCTCAATCTATTATATGCATGACAGATGATACAACTCATCAGTTACTCTATTACTGTGGAGCAATATTTATATTATGATATTATACATTTCAGACACTAGAGGATGACATGTCAGACAGACCATTATAAGCTCAAAGGATATTTGAGCAGCAGACAATCGCTGCTAGTCACAATGAAGATGACATTTTAACCTAATATGTGCCCACCCAAATTGGGAATAATTTGATAACGAGAATCGAAGGAGAGCGATTTTAGCGCAGCTTTTTTACATATTGGTAATAAGGAAATCATTATACAATAATGTAATTATTTTTTTCCTCAATTTAATCATACATTGCGTTGCCTTTTGGCTATTTATATGCAGAATAATATGTAAAATTACACACGAGTATATGATAAGGTGATATCACAGTGTAGGGAAAAGCATAATGTTTTAAAAATTGTCAAAATTTCCTTTGTGCAAAAAGGTAATAATAAAAAAACAATGTGTGATGGCACAAGAATACCACTATTATTACCACCATTCGCTCCTTTAACTCAAACATAAGCAGCAGTGGTAAGGTGGCTCGGTGGTTAGCATCGTTGCCTCACAGCAAGAAGGTCGCCTGTTCACATCCTGGCAAGGTCACCTGGGATCTTTCTGTGTGGAGTTTGCATGTTCTCCCCGTGCAGCGTGGGTTCTCTCCAGGTTCTCTGGCTTCCTCCCACAGTCCAAAAACATGTTGAAGTTAATTGGTGATTCTAAATTGTCCGTAGGTGTGAATGTGAGTGTGCTTGGTTGTCTGTCTCTAAATGTGGCCCTGTGTTAGACTGGTGACCTGTCCAGGGTGTCCCCGGCCTTGGCCCAAGTCAGCTGGGATAGGCTCCAGCCCCCCATGACCCTAGTGAGGATTAAGCAGTGTATAGACAATGGATGGATGGATAAGCAGCAGTGTGTTATTTAACCCTTTAGGAGAGTATGTATAACTAACAGGTACTTTTAGCATTTTTTGTTCCCAGTCTTCTTCAGTTTTGATTTGTGCATCAAACTAGCAGTAAAGTCTGTCCTTTCTCTGTGCTTACGGAGCAATATTGTCTCTCTCATGCGTTCAGGCATTGTGCGTTTCATTCACAAGAGACTTTTTATAACTATTACCCAGTATAGAGAGAGCTTATGTGCTATATGATATCAACATACACATCTTGCCGTCTACACAGCCGCCCACGCGTACACACAGGCAACATGTAAGCATTATGTCTACATGCAGCAGCGATATGATCAGTGGTTCGGCGCACTGTTTTTAGGCGCGATGATTAGCTCGCAGCAGGTGCTAGCTTGCCTCACAGTCCCTGGAGTGCTTCACAGGAAATACCAGCTAATTGCTGCAGGTGATAATACCACACAATGAGGCGATCCTCTTATCACACGAGAAAAAGGAAGAATAAGGCGCTAAGTAAATCATTTGTCCCCACTTGTGCACTCGCAGAGACGAGAAAATGGGTGAGAAAATTAACCAAATTAAAGAAAATAAACATTATGCAGTAAAGACCCTGCTTTGACCAAATATCGTACATTTCGGCTCGTCTCACCTACGTGATAAAAGCAGTAATTTGCTTTAATGCAGGCATCAGTGTTTGTGTTGCTAAATGTTTGTGAACTAAACTCCATCCGCTGCGTTTCAAGAATGCTATTGATGTTAAGTTTATTAATGCTGAGAGGAAATCTCTGAGTTTCTGGCTCCAGACCAGCTGATCAGAGTTAGTTCAATCACCTCTGATTATGTTTGCTCCGAATTAAGTGTGTGCATGGTGAATGAATAAAAGCCATCATCAATGGAGCTCCGATATTCGCCATGGCAACAGGTAAATACAGAGCAGAGCCTCCATTTTAATCCAGTCTAGGTAGAAATACTATGTGTATCTTTAAAAAAACAACAACAACCCAGCAGCAGCAGCAGTGGAAAGAGTTAACAAGCTAACACTGCTACATTTCATTCAGTGTGGTCCACATCATCATCATCATGTGACTCGAATGTCTTTCACGGATGAGAACGTGTTGGAGTCTGACAATGTATTACACATTCAGTACATGAACATAGTTTTCAGCCGCGAGCTAATCAGGACAAAGCACCAGGAGCAGCAACTAAAGATGAGAATCCATATGAAACATGTAGAATATAAGTTTATATATAGACCTGCGATTGCTTCCTTACAGACTGAGCCAATGGTGCTGATGCTGGCAACCGGTGTAGAGTCTATTTTTGCAGTCAAAACCGTGCTCAACCGAATCTAATAACTATATTTAAACATGCAGCATATGTAAACACAGTATCCTAAATAGAAAATTATGGTCTGCCTTATTCCACATACAGCCATTCAGCGTATTTGCACACCATAATTGTCTATTTTTATAGTTCACGGCAGAGACCGCATTCCCCACACAGGTGTTAAATTGCATACACACACACACACACACACACGAGAGTTTCACTGAGGAATGCATGCATGGACTGGATGGGATGTAGGGCAGATTACGTTACAGGAAATGCACGCGTAGATGAGTTTGTGTATTTCGCATTACGGCGGAACACTGTTTACTGTCTTGTGTGATCTTCTCGGTGTGCGGTTTGTCTGCTGTAAACACACACAACACTTTTTCTGGTGTGTTTCTGGCACACACAGACATATTTGTTTGCAAAAAAAAAATAATAATTAAAACCCCCATGCTGAGGTAAACAAATTAATTAACACTGTACCTTAGATTTTATTGTTGTCTAATGGGAATCCCTGTAATATTTTGAGAGCGGGTTCAAATCCTGGTTCTGATATTTGTCGGTGACGCTGGTATTAATTTGTTGATGCAGTTTAGGGATTAAAACCAGTTGCTGATGCCTTTAATATTTATCAGTTCATGGTGATATCTGCTGTGTGTTCCACCACTTCAAGATATAACAACAGAAGTGATCCTTCAATGTAATGCAGCTACAATACACAACAATGATTACACTGAAGAGGTGGTTGGGTAATATTCTACATTGCCTGACAAAGTGATGACTGCCCAGCAACATACCACATTCATTAATCAGTGGATATTAGGATCAGCGGGATATCTGTTCAGTCCTGTATGAATCAATAGCTGCAGAGGTCATGATGATGCATGTGAGACGGTGCATGTGTGCATTGTCCGACGCAAACCCTCCCTAACCAGTCAATATCCTCTCACCTCTCTGTCTTCCACCTAGATGGTTTATAAGCCCTGGCTGTGTTCTCAGTACTTCCAGACCACCCAGATGCACTGCAGCAAGCGAATCCCCTGTGGTCAGTACTGCCTGGAGGTGCAACAGCGGTGCCCCTTCGTCCTGCCCGACAATGATGATCTCATTCATGGAGGCAGCCCCAGTTTTATATGCACAGGTATGAAATCGTCATCTTGTATGCATTATCCTGCTTTTATTCCTTTCTCAATCTTTCTTGCTTTAAAGATTAGCATCACTAGAGTGAAGCTTTAGTTCTCCACCTGTAGTCTATGAGCAGCAAGTGTTTTGTTGACTTTTTTGACGGATAAAAGAACATTACTTCCCCAAAGCTACAGGTAACAAGCTCCTCTAGCCTCTGCTGGTTGCAGTACAACGAGTGAGCACATGGGCTCAGAGCATCTCACTCAGTATTACTTCAATAAGACACACAGACACTGATGGACACACAGAAAACACTTGTGACTTTACAGTTACAGGATGTTCTGTCTAATCATCAGACTAACAGGGCGATACATCACAGCAAGTAAATATTACCAGTTGCTCACAGCAGCAAGACAGTTTCGTAATGGCCCTCTGTGGGTGTTTATATCTGTCCTAAAAGGTGCTTTTCCACCAAATGTTCATTCCCCGACACTAATGTCAAGGATGTGTCCCCATAGATAAAAGTTTTGCATTTCCACAACACTTGAACATTAAGTTAATTAGTTGACTGATGTATCAAAAGTGTCTCAAAGTCTTGCTGAATATTATCCTCGAAAAAGAAAAAAGGTAAACACAGCCTGGGCATCAGTTCATCAATCAGAAAATCTATAAAGCGGCTTCATCCTGATTACTGTTGCCTCAGCTAGAGGTATTTTTTAAGAATGTCAGGTGTATAAAACTGCTGTGGAAACAGGTTATCTGACCAACTGGTGACATCCTCATCCTTCAGAAAGCACCACCTTCACAGCAGACACTTTTTGGGGGCGTAAAGCGTCATTTAGACCCCGATTGCTCTGATAGAGACACTGAAGTGGGGGAGTGAAGTTCCTGAACAGTTTCTTGTGGAAGCACACATTCTGTTGGCTGGTGTTAGAGAATACAGTGGCCCGACTCACACATACATGCACTATTTTAACTAACTAAATGAATAAATGTTAGAATCTTTGGTTCTTTGGTTCCCACGTTTAAGGAAAAAGAGTCCCCACAACATGACTACTGAGCAGATTCTTGCATCCAAGAACATGATTAATACAAAGGCTTGTATCGCATGCTGATGCTGCCCTCTGGTGGACACACTGATCATCAGTAGAAGTTTCAAGCTCAATGTTTGCTCATTTTTGGTAATTTTTTTATGATTATGAAGAAAACTGAATCAGGCCACAGCTGTCACTCCCTAAAAATGACGGCTCAATAGTCTATATTTTGTCTGATAAAAGGTCTAAAACTACTCATTAACTCACCTGTCTCTGACTTTAAAGTGATGGCTCATTTCCTAAAGCAGTTTGAAATTTTAGTTTTTAGCATGATATTATTAAAAGAAGAGGTATTACCATATTGTAGAAGAATATGTTCAGCTATGGTTAAATACATAAATAGCATAAGTGAGTATTGAGTGTGTGTGGCTTTCCTGCGGTACAACAGTCTTACCAGTGGAAGTCTCTGATGGTTGGTCGGGCAGCCCGGGAAGGTTCAGCAGTCCACGTGAATATTGTTCACAGCAGTGGCATCCAGTGCAGATATTTAGAGTGAGAAATTTTTTGGCCAAACCGGAAACCGAGAAGGGGGGGGGAAAAAACTTAACTAACCCTTTTTTTTTCCAAGACTGAATATTAAACTAAAGGAAATACAACAAATGGAAAAACAAACTAACTGCACTTTCGGCTTCCGGCAAAGCAAGAGTTGTAGTCTGCACCTGGGCCTGTCTCTTTCAATCTGTCCACTTCTAACTCCTGCCTTCTGCCTTGTCTACAGGTGGGCTTCAACTACTCATGAGACAAAATTCAGTTATCTAATTCCAATCATTTACAAGGACAGCAACATACCAAGCCAATATATTATCAATTGTAAATTCATTTAATTCAATTTTGAAATATATTTTATTTAAAATTACGTGTTTTAATAACAAAAACCCTAAAATGAAACAAAGCACCCCTCCTACTCTGCCACACTTGGTCTCCTCCTCTGTGGACCCCTCTACTTTAGCCAATGGAACGCTCCAATTCAGGTTTGGTGTCCAATGAGGAGGAGGCAAGTGGAGCAGTAGGGAAAGGTGATGCTTGTTGGAAATTCAGCAAATGTTTTCCATACAGCTGCACTGTTTGGTTTTTCTTTTGCACCAACTTCCACATGTATCAAGTGTGATTTAATTGTAAACATAAGCAAAATACATCTAAAACAAAAAGAAAAGATATCCCACCGCCAAGATGGAGGACAGAGGCCTGCTTTGTGACTGAGGGCTTCCCCCATAACACAATCTATTTCAAATAAATGATTTGCCTCGTAAACAACAGTGATCACTTATATGTGTTGATAAGTAAGTGAGTGACTTGATAGCAGCTATCGCAGCTCCTCAGTCTGCATCTTACTGTAAATGTGCATGTGTGTCAACTGTACTGCAAACAGGGCTGCCGTAAATGTTGACAAGCAGTAATTACGTTGTTCGTCTTTTCACAGTTAAGCTGTTGACAGTCAAATTAGAGAAACATCCAAGTTCACTCCTCATATTAATACAGACGGTGACAAACCCTTTTTGCTTTTGATATCATTGCATTGGTTTACTGTTTGTGATCTAACTCCTTTTGGTGATGCAGTAAATTCTGATACACAATATTTAATATGCATTTTTCTTTTCTGGGTGCTTTTTTAAAAAAAAAGAAAACAGAAGAAGCAGAAAATACTTTATTTTTTTGACATTCCATACATCAAATATGATTGTGAGGTGTATTTATAATCCTTATGGGAATTTTTGTTTTTACCTATGTAGCTAAAAATAAAGACTGCTCAATGCATTTCAGCGAAAACATGAAAAAATGCAAACCAATGAAGAAAACATTGCTTACTGTATGTCACACTGAAAATAGCATATGCTGCAAGCAGAGTTCTACACAGTTATTTTTAGGGATGCACGATATATCGGATCACATCGGTATCGGCTGATATTAGTGTTTCTTCTGATATATCATATTGGTCTGATGAACAAATTTAGTCGATGATTGTCTAACATTAGCGCCTTCGTGTCTACATTTGATATTGCTGCTATTTCACAGATGTTTTTACTGAAATGGTCCTGGACTTGAATGTTAAATATGTTTAACTATGTTTAAATATGTCTTACTTTTGTTAAGTAATAAAGAAGACTATGTGGTCTAATTAGGTACGGGCTTCTTTTAAATAGTTTTCATGTTTTCACAGTGTTCACTTATACTCATTTTTCAGTGTGAACAAAAAGTGAATATCAGCATCGGTAATATCGGTTATCGGCGATATTAAAAATCTTAATATCGGAAATCGACATCATCCAGAAACTTTAATATCATGCATCACTAGTTAGTTTCATTACTGATTGATTAATTAGAGATATTGACGTATTCACATAGTTTGTTTTGTCCAAAAAGCATTTTAAAACCCAGAGAAATTCAATTTAATATAATAATGTATATTTTAAAAAGGCAAAAGCTGTTTCATGACAAGCTGATACATTTTTTGGGAGATAGTTTGTCTTGAAAACTGACCATTATCAAAAAATGTCTTAAGATTGAGCTCTCACCATATTGCTTTATCTATAAAAATATAAGGGGAAAAAAAAGAAATGCTGCAAGTCAAACAAAACCAAATAGGACTAAATTAAACCATGAAGTAGGTTTTTCCCACACTTACCCCTTGAAAAAAGTTGGACAAATTGCATTACATGAGACAAGTACAGTCAATGTGCATCTCTGATTCTTCCCCATAACCACCTCCAGGGCTGCTGGAGGACTATCCATCAGGTGTGGACCCGCATGCAGAGTGCTGTGACGTGCGGTGGGACTTGAAAGTGGACAACCGTTCCCGGGGGACCCTGAAAAGAACTCACCCGCCATGCCAGCACCGTACCTCCCTCAGCTCCTCGGCAGCCTGCAGACTGTGTAACAGCCGGCTCAAACTCTGCCTGCTGGTCCTCGTCCTCCTACACACTGTTGCCAGCCTCACTGCATCCCACAATGCAACAGGACTGGGCCTCCCCGCCATCACGCCTCTGGAGGAGAGCCCTGCCAACGAGGAGTGATAGAGCTGCCAGGAGGAGGTTGAGGTTGTTAGGGTAGGGGGGGATTCCCTCGCCATGGCAACCGATGTGGAAAAATACAGCCACAGTTGCGAGAACGGCCGGAGCTGTGGCGCCTGTGGACATTCTGCAACGCTCTCTGGCAAAAAAAAAAATGTGGGACGCTTTGAGATGAAAGACACACAAATCAATCAAAAACAAATAAATAACTAAACAAACAGACATGCTAAGGGATTGGACCGGTCCCTTAGGTAGGAAAAAGGGGACAATGCCACAGCCTTTGTTGAGAGGGAAGGTCAGCTTCCTCATGGCTGAGTTTCTCTCACTACGCTTTTTTACACTGTGTTCCAATTATTGGTTTCTGTTGCACTGGCTGACTATGGAATAACACAATCATATTCTCTTTCTAATGTTCATCCTTTGTCTTTGTTTCTGGGTCTCTCATACAGGAAGAAAATGTGTTCTCTAAATAAGACAGTGTAAAAAAAAAAAGAATAATTAGCTGCAAGTTTGTGCGCGTGTGACGGTTTGTTTTTCTAGGTTTACCGTGTGTGTGTGTGTGTGTGTGTGCGAGCGAGCGTGTGCGGCTGTGTGTCTTTACCGATGTGTGTGTGAGAGAATGAGTGCAAATCGCTGACACGTATCCTAAAAGTCTACCTAACAGGCTGGTGCAGCTGATGATTTTAACGGAGGCCCTCCCCCCCTCAGATGTCACTTAGCTCTGCAACGTTGGTTTGTTGGCCACAATCCCATTAAAGCTTAACCGGGTTTTCAATGTGGTTCTGATTGTCCATAATAAACTCTGTGTTTTCCACAGGTTTATGGTTTGCCCTGGCTTTGTTTCGTGAGATAATATTCACCTATTAACACCGTTTACAAGGATCAAAACGTTTCCGTAATTAGCGTCGGTAAAACTCCAGCACCTGGCTCAGCTGTGAGAAACATCAGGAAACGAGCAACGTCGCCAACGCTCAAAGTCTACAATGATATCTACGTTTAATATGATCACAACTTTGACCTTGTGTTTTTAGTGTTTACTCTCTTACCACAGCAATTTGTTCAACCATGCAACAATTACAATAAAATTAAGTCTAATAGGGAAGAAACCACCAGTTTTAGCAAAGCCCAGTTCATCCACATGTATTTTAAAGACACAACTAAAGCAATCACACATAAGATTCTGTTTTGCATCACTCATCAACATTTCAGATGAACTCATGTTTAGTTTTTTACACCAAATTTAGAAAAATTGGTTGTCACCCCACTGGATGTTATTGCAGCAAAATGTTTCTAAGATCTCACCAATATGTAAGTTGAGTGAAATATTAGTTTAACCAACAGGACTGATGCTAATTTGTATATTAAGCTGTATTGCCAGAATGATCAGAAGGGCTTCAGGTTGATGATACAATAGGGCTAAGCCATTAGAACAAAATAGTTTTACATATGTGTACCTCAATTGTGACCAAAACTATATATAAAGTTAAAACAATATTTTAACTCTCCTCAAGATTTTGTGGAAATTCTGTATTTATAGAGGAGTCACGGTTTCAGACTACAATCACCAGAGTTGGAAGGTCAATAAAAAAGGTTAATTCATCAACACTTTATTGAACCTGATTAAATATTACCCCTGGAATAAGCGTCACCTTTGTTAATTAGTGCACACACAACTTTTAAAAAAACAAGCACAAATAGGTCAATTTTATCTCACCAAACAAAACTGGAACTGTCTCGAGCTCGTCTTAATGGAGAACGTTCTTTCAGTTACTTTGCCAAATCCCCATTCTGATTCTGGTCACTTTTCAGCAAAGCCAGCTGATACTGGGATTTATTTAACACTGGATCTATATATTTACGACTGTTGCTCCAGCCATAAGAGGTTTTAATTTACATTTTAAAGGTAACATCCAGTCAAACAGTGTCTGCAGCATAGAAATAGTGGTTACCGAAGGTTATACTGTCTCCTCAAGTCTTCTCTTTGATATGGGTTATTTATATAACGTGACTGCAGTATCAGTAATAAACGACTTTAATCCATCAACACAACTTGAAAACCTAATTTACTGATCGCCCTTCAGTCGAAGCTATACCAGTGGTGGGATTTTAACCTCAGGCCTTTTTATTCAAAGGAAACGTGATGACTGGATGTTACCTTTAAAGACTTTTCATGATTGATCAACTGTAATTTTTCCTGCATTTACAACGAAGACAAACATCTCACCAAGAAAGGTAGTTTGCTACCTGCAAGTATACAGGTTTATTACATTATAATCCTGCTTCCCTGGTCCTGTGATGACATTCTACATCCTACCGACGCAGAGACGGTTTGGTTCAAAGTCTGTTTGTTTCTGTTAAATCAAGATGTGAACTGCATGTGGAGGCTCTGCAAGGTTACGACCGCCTCTTTTGTTGACTGTCCTCGGCCACCCGCTTCCCGTAAGCAACCACATCTGATCCCAAACCAGCTCCTGTAGCATGCCCACTGTCTCGTACTTTTCCTCTTCAAAAACATCAAACTAATGTCTCATTAATAAAAGGGCTTATTAAGATATACAGTACAAACATTCTCATCTACACAGTCAGACACATTCGAAAAACACCCAAATTGTTAGCAGACAAAGGGAAGAAAAAAATTAAATAAAAAAAAGATGTGGCTCATTTCCTACTTTGTACACTCATACAACTTCAATACAAAGGCATTCTACTGGCTGTTACTGGAGAGGAGGAACAGAAACAAATCCAGAGAGAGGAGCACGTCATCGTTTGTGTAAGCACTAACAGCATTTCCTGATAATCGTCTAAGTCAGCTGACGCTTTTATTTTACTAAATGTCGACCAGTGTGTGAACAGGAAGGAACGGCGTGACCTTAAGGGCTGACTTCTTCTTTAGTTTCTGGTTATAGTTTTGTGTCTCTTATGATGATGGCTGTGAGATCAGGTATCTGACAAAGAAAAGCAGATATTGCTGGAAGCATTGTTTCGTTTTTTCCACTCTCGAGTGTGTTTATTACTTATATGAGATGTCCAATCCGATATCTGATGTCAAGAATTTTATTATACACCTTATATGAGGATTTAAAATTAATCATTATTCACACCATGTCTATATAAAAAAAAAAGAAAAAAAAAAAGTATATTGGCTTATTTTGACACTTGCTGTTTAGACCCTGCCCCGCTCCTGCTTGCATGAAATACATAACTGCTCATCTGGCACAGCGCACCCATGCCCATCTTGAATGACTGCATTCAGCGATAGAAAACTGCTGCTATACCAATGGCCACCAGTAGATGGAGATCTATTTATTCTTTTACATTGATACTGCTGCTGAAGACCGACTACACAAGGACTGTCTGACATACAGGAATCAGGAAGGCTGAGCTGTGGAATTGAAAAAGTGAATCCCCACTCGTCTGTGGGCAAAAGTGTGCTGTTGTGTGTGTGTGTGTGTGTGTGTGTTTATGTGTGCTGCTTAAATGCATATGCATAGATGTGTGTGTGTTCATGTCTAATTGCTGCGTGTTCTCTGGAGAACTCATTTGCCGTTGCCATGACCTTGGGGCTGCGGGACAGATGTGGCAAACCACCACTGTCTTTCGACGCACAGGGACCCGCTACATTAGCCCGTCCCATTACTCACCGCAGCCTTGAAGCTGCATGATTTGTAGTATGAAACCATTGTAGTGTACCATGTGTAATAACTGTGTCATTGCCCCAAGACCCCAAACAGACTAGGGATGATTTATATTCCCTTCTGCCCCCGTTTTAATAGAATATTTCCCCGCAGTCCCCCGATATGGAATGACGTAGAAGACTGTCAGAGAGAGTGCAGAGGAGAACATGAAGTGAATGAAGTGGACCTGAAACCGGTGCCAAAGCATACCTTGTAGTGAGCAAAATAAACCAAACTGATAGACGACACAGTGCTTTTCATAATTGAAAGGAGGAATACAGGGTTCTGCCAGTGTTGGGAGAAATGTGCCATGTTAGCAATATACGATTGCACCTCACAAGCGTCACGCAGCCCTCGTCACAAGCACACGTAAGAGATCTCACATAAGTATATGTGATTTCGTTCTGCCTCTCATGCCAGCTGTGATGTAACGGCCATCACAAGCCAACTGTTGGACACGCGTTCACGCAAAATAAGCCTGCATTCAGAAGTCACGCAGAGAGCATGTTTGCTTTCCATGCGGCAATGCGTCCTCACTGTGGTTGCATGGGTGCGAATGCTGTGCATATGTGTTGTCCATCACACCCTCCCCTCCCCCTCACACGCGTCTGCACCAAGGATTGACCTTTTTGTGTGCAAGATTTCTTCCAAAACGGTGATAGAATTAGATCCGACTGATGTAAATCTCTGATTTGACTTTTGTTGGTAATGCAGGCATGCACGCAACAGTTACTCTGTGATGATTTATTTATATCTTTTTTTTTTTTATGTTTCAGTTTGTCAAATTTTTTACTGCATTATACCAAGAAGAAATTGTGTAGGGTCCTATAGATTCAGTCTAGCTCCCCGACAGTGGTCTGTAGCAGTTGTAGAGTATGGTCTGTCACGTTCCATTACACACCAATCTACAAAAACTGATTTTGTGTTTCAACCCCTGCACATATAGACTATGTATGCCTCTTGCCCCTACCCACCAAATGGTATGTACACAAATATTGCCCTCTTTCACTCTTTCTCAGCCTCTCTCTGTTTTCACAATAGTTCCGTTCTCTATCCTGTGGATCTATGCAGAAGCCCATTCCTTTTTTGGTTGTAAATACGTTCCCTAGTATGCTGAACAATGTATGTCTCTCCTTGTGTATTTTGAGTTGATGTCATGCTGTTACTTTCTTCTTCTTCTTCTCCTTCTTCTAATCCTTTTTCTTTAATTTGAGCGTCTGAAATCATTGATGTTAAAAGAGAATGTGGTGAGGTTTAACCAATAGACTTGTCCTCAGCTTCGCAACCTTATTGTGAAAGGTTGTGGTTCTGTGTGTGTGAAAGCGAAAG